CCATCAATCCCTCACTCCATCAACCCCTCACCCTATCAACCCCTCACGCCATCAATCCCTCACTCCATCAACCCCTCACTCCATCAACCCCTCATCCTATCAACACCTCACCCTGGTAGACAATGAGGCGGCAGTTGTTCTGAGACTCAGGGGCATCTGCCAGGATGTCCTCAAGTGTCCGGCAGAAGAGTTTGGCCTGCTCAAGCCGATCCTCCCGGCTAAAGCCAGCTTGGCCATATTGTGACATGGCAAACAAAGTCTGCAGCGGGGAGGCGTACTCCAGGACACAGGCGCCTGCCTGGAGGAGGAAAGAGGAAGACCAGACTAAGCCAGGACCCAGGGGCATGGGGGATGGAGGATGGAGGGTCCAGTTCAGACCCTGGCCCCCAGTGTCACAGGCTGAAGCCCCACTCCCTCAGCCTGTAATGATGGCGTCCTGGGAGGCGGCCACCCTGATGAGGTCTATGCTGTCTGGCCTGCCTTTGCCTCTGATACCCAATTCTGAAATCAAGGCCAGGGCTGGACTAAATTTACCCTTCACAGATCTTCCTCCTAAGATCCCAGGGCAAGACCCACAGAGCGAGGCTGTCAACTGCTGCAGCTGGGAATCAGGTCTGGGGCCGGGCTCTGGGGTTCAGCTCTGGTCTGGGTTCCCCTGCACCCACATGAAATCCTTCAAATGTTCTCACAGCCTTTGTCTAGGGCAGCTTTATGGTCAAGTGCATGGTACAGCCAAGTTGAAATCGTTCACTTTCCTACTGTGTCTCTGAGCTTCAGTGTCCTCCTCTGTAAAGTGGAGATGCTAACAGTCTCTACCCCATAGGGTGGTGGTAAGAATTCAATGAGGTGGTCAGATGACACACCCAGAATAGCAGCCAGCATGTAGTAAGTGCTCAATAAATGTTACCAATTAGAGCTGAATCCTGCCCAGCCCTAGGGACACTACAGCTTAGAGAAGGGCAATGAATTTTCATCAGTGCTTGGCAAGGGCCCAGGGTTCTGGGGGTCCTGACCCCTCCCCAGGGACCCCCACTTCCCTGCGCCCTCACCCGCTGCCCGTTCTCCAGAAGCTCATAGATGCTGTTGGTGTAAACCCGCCCCTTGATGCCAGCACGGTCAATGGTCTGCTGGGGCAGTTTATCCAGGAAGCGAATGTTGGCGTCAGCTGTGCTCAGGTTGTCAGGCACCCCACAGTCCAACGGGAAGAGGATATACAGCCGCTGGCTTGCTGGACCCCGTAGCACATTGTTGTTATGCTGATTGTAAGTTCGAATCCGGGCCTGGAATCCTGAGGCAGGGAAGCCCAAAAAGTCATTCCCGATAACCCTCTCTCCTACCTGATTCAGGACTGAGACCCAGGTTATTGGCCCCACAGTGTGCGGGTGCCAGAGAATGGAGCGTCCAGCGCACTCTCATTGTACAGGAGGCCAGGAGGGGCAGTGCCTCCGAAAGCCCTCCTACCCTTCCTCCTATGGCCCCGCCCTTCACCCCCCCCCCACTTCTTTCCTCAGATGTCTATGTCAGCCCCACTTCTTCCCACTATGGCTTTCAGGGCTCTGAGAGGCAGGCAGAGCCCTGGGAGGTGACATTCCCAGGTTTCTCGTGTGCACAGAGCCAGGCGTCTAGCCCCAGATCAGTCTCCTAGCAGAAACCCTAAGAGTTAGCAATGAGATATGGAAGAGCTACAGCTTTAGCCTGCAAGTCAGAGGAATAAAACATAAAGGCTTAGGCCGGGCATCTGTAATCCCGGAACTTTGAGAGACTGAGGCAGGTGGATCACTTGAGGTCAGGGGTTTGAGACCAGTCTGGGCAACATGGTGAAACCACATCTCCACTAAAAATACAAAAATTGGCCAGGCGTGGTGACTCATGCTTTTAATCCCAGCACTTTGGGAGGCTGAGGCAGATCATGAGGTCAGGAGTTCGAGACCAGCTTGGCCAACATAGTGAAAACCCGTCTCTACTAAAAATACAAAAAAAAAGTTAGCTGGGCATGGTGGTGGGCACCTGTAATCCCAGCTACTCCGGAGAATTGCTTGAACCCAGGAGGTGGAGGTTGTGGTGAGCCAAGATCACGCCACTGCACTCCAGCCTGGGAGACAGGGCTAGACTCCATCTCAAAAAATTAATTAGCTAATTAAAATGTTAAAAATACAAAAATTAGCCAGGCATGGTGGCATGTGCCTGTAATCCCAGCTATTCCGGAGGCAGGATCGCTTGAACCCAGGAGGCAGAGGTTTAAGTGAGCCAAGATCTTGTCGCCACTTCAGCCTGGGCAACAGAGTGAGACTTTATCTAACAAAAAAAAAGGCTCCACAGTACAGTGGTCCAGGGTCCAGGCTCTGGACAAACCAGGGTTCAAATCCTTTCTCCTCCTCTCTCTAAGCTATGTGATGTTGGACAAATCACTTGATCTCTCAGAACTATACTTAAAAATAAAAAAAATTTTTAAAAAGAGGCCAGACATAGTGGCTCATGGCTATAATCCCAGCACTTTGGCACTTTGGGAGGCCAAAGTGGGAGAATCACCTGAAGTCCGGAGTTCGAGACTAGCCTGGCCAACATGGTGAAACCCCGTCTCTACTAAAAATACAAAAATTAGCCAGGTGTGGTGGCAGGCACCTATCATCGCAGCTACTTGGGAGGTTGAAGCAGAAGAATCACTGGAACCCGGGAAGCAGAGGTTGCAGTGAGCTGAGATTGTGCCACTTCATTCCAGCCTGGGCGAAAGAGCGAAACTCCATCTAAAGAAAAAAAAATCTGGTGGGGCACGGTGGCTCACCTGTAATGCCAGCACTTTGGGAGGCCAAGGCAGGTGGATCACCTGAAGTTGGGAGTTTGAGACTAGCCTGACCAACATGGAGAAACCTTGTCTCTACTAAAAATACAAAATTAGCCAGGCATGGTAGCACACGTCTGTAATCCTAGCTACTCGGGAGGTTGAGGCAGGAGAATTGCTTGAACTTGGGGGGCAAAGGTTGAAGTGAGCCAAGATCACACCATTGCACTCTAGCCTGGGTAACAAGAGCGAAACTCTGTCTCAAAAAAAAAAAAATCTAAGGCCAGCTCAGTGGTTCATGTCTATAATCCCAGCACTTTGGGAGGCTGAGGTGAGTGAATTACTTGAGGTAAGGAGTTCAAGACCAGCCTGGGCAACATAGTGAAACCCTGTCTCTACTAAAAATACAAAAAAATTTAGCCAGGCATGGTGGCAGACACCCGTAATTTCAGCTACTTGGGAGGCTGAGGCAGGAGAATCGCTTGAACCCAGGAGGTAGAGGTTGCAGTGAGCTGAGATTGTGCCACTGCACTCTAGCCTCGGCAACAGAGAGAGACTTTGTCTTAAAAAAAAAAAAAAATCTAAAATAGGGATGGGCATGGTGGCTCCTGCTTGTAATCTCAGCACTTTGGGAGGCTAAGGTAGGAGGATTGCTTGAGCCCAGGAGTTCTAGACTAGGCTGGGCAACATAGCAAAATCCTGTCTCTTGTTTTTATAACTAACTAACTAAATAAAACAGAAATGAAGATTATTCCTTCCTCACACGGTGTGAATTAGAAAATGCACAGGAGGGCACACAGCATGCAGTAAATATTTACTGAAAGAATTCACAGGTGACCTTGGATGAGTCACTTAATGGCTCTAAGCCCCATATTCCTTCCTGTTAATCAGGCATCATAATAACATCCTTCATGCCTTGGGATCAAAGGATTTGGTAGACATGAAAATGCTTCGAAAAGAATAGTGAGTTCTGGAAACACAAGAGGCTGTGTGTCAGAGTGTCTGTTTTGTAGATCTGGAAATAGGGGCATAGAGGATGGCCCACCTGGCAGGATCAGCCGCAGGTACCCGATGTAATATGACCATGCCAGCCCATGGGCCACATTGAAGTTCCCTTTTTCACAGACTGCAGAGATCTCAGCTGGGGCCAGGCCCTGTGGACAGGGGGATGGGGCTGGGGGTCCCCCATCAAGAACACCCAGAGAACTCCTCCTCCTCCAAGGCTTCCCAACCTGCTGCCGACTTGATCCCTCCTTTGACATTGCCGAACCCACTGTTCCAGGACATGATAGCTCTACTCCACCGACTCCAACCTTTAAATCAGTCCCACTCCCAGCACTGAGCTCAGGACAGGCCACACCACGTTTCCACAGCCTCCACTTGGCCAGAGCTTCTGCCTCCCCCTGTGTCATACCTTGAGGCCCAGGAGGACGTTCAGTGCCTGCGAGAAGCCCAGGAGGGCAAGCGTCCAAGTGAAGGGCCGGCCAACCGCATTTGGGAGGAAGCAGTAGAAATAGCTGGACAGCAACAACTGGGCCCCAAGGCGGATGGGGCAGCCTAGGCAGGCCCGCACAGCCCTCCAGTAGCTGCCCTGGTACCTGTGGGTGACAGCCAGGCCCCAGCCCCCAGCCCAGCTCAGCCAGAGAGGTTCAAGGAGGAGCAGGGGTAGGCATCAAGGGAGTGACACATGCTGGATACCCCATCCCATGGGTACTGCCGTGAGTCACCTGGAGTGGACATGGCGCAGCTCCTCAGCCAGGCTGCAGAACCTGTTCAACAGCAGTCCCAGCTGCAGGGAGGCTAGGTGGAGGACTAGAAACTGGAGAATGTCCTCTGGTGGCTCTCCTAGCCACCAAAGAGTCACCAGGCAGACACTCAGCAGAACCAAGGCTGCCTTCCGGGCCCCGTGACCCCGGGGATGTGGGATGGATGGATGTAGGCTGGAGTGGGGCATCTGTGGGCACCAAGAAATCCATGACTATGCTCCCCTCACCCTCCTGCCCTTCTAGGACTGAGGCTCTGGCTGGGTACCTCCCGCCAGCTGCCCTTTCCCTGGTGCCCAGCCACTCTCAGAGGCTGCCTGTAGAGACACCTCTAGGAGACAGGCTGGGAATGTCACCCCAAAGCTCCTGTCCCAGCGAGGTTTGCTGAAAGCAGAGCAGGCCTGCACACACACACCCCACCAAGCCCAGGGAGACCATTGGTGTAGTGAAGAGAGAAGGCAGCAACTATCCCAGACCCAGGCTGGAAGCTGTCCTGTGCAGCCTTACCCAACAGGAACCCTTGGGGACCTGGGTTCCCCTGTCCCCAGAATCCACCTCAGAGAGGACCTTAGTCAACAAAATGGAAAACAGGGCTGGGCGTGGTGGCTCACACCTGTGGTCCCAGCACTATGGGAGGCCGAGGTGGGCAGGTCACGAGGTCAGGCATTTGGGACCAGCCTGACCAACATGGTAAAACTCCGTCTCTACTAAAAATATAAAAAGTAGGCCGGGGCCGGGCGCGGTGGCTCAAGCCTGTAATCCCAGCACTTTGGGAGGCCGAGGCGGGTGGATCATGAGGTCAAGAGATCGAGACCATCCTGGCCAACACAGTGAAACCCCATCTCTACTAAAAATACAAAAAATTAGCTGGGCATGGTGGCGCGTGCCTGTAATCCCAGCTACTCAGGAGGCTGAGGCAGGAGAATTGCCTGAACCCAGGAGGCGGAGGTTGCGGTGAGCCGAGATCACGCCATTGCACTCCAGCCTGGGTAACATGAGTGAAACTCCGTCTCAAAAAAAAAAAAAAAAAGTAGGCCGGGCGTGGTGGCTCAAGCCTGTAATCCTAGCACTTTGGGAAGCCGAGGTGGGTGGATCACCTGAGGTCAGAAGTTCAAAACCAGCCTGGCCATCATGGTGAAACGCCATCTTTAAAAAAAAACAGCCGGGCATAGTGGCAGGTGCCCATAGTCCCAGCCACTCAGGAGGCTGAGGCAGGAGGATCGCTTGAACCCAGGAGGTGGAGGTTGCAGTGAGCCCAGATCACAACACTGCACTCCAGCCTTGGGGACAGAGTGAGACTCGGTCTCAAAAAAAGGAAAAACCAAAGTGAAAAACAGAGCTCAGGGAGTGGGGACAGGGCAGCCAGCAGGCACCCCCTTGCCTCTGGGTGCCAGGGGCCCTAGGTTTGGCACTCCACCAGGCTGCTCTTGAGCCTACCTTCTGCCTCCAGGACATTGGCTGCTCCGGATGATGACAGGGAGAGAAGGCCCAGTGCTACCAGCAGACAAGGGCAGCTTCTCTGAGTGCAGCCTGAAAATGAAATGTTACAGGAATGCTTTCTCCACAACACCCCAGCCCTGGCGTCTCTCCAAACCGCAGCTTTAGTTGTGCTGGGAGAAAGGGTATTTCCTGCTCCTCAGGAAGGGAGGTAGAACCCTTCCCTCAATGCCCTGATGAGCTGGGCATGAGTCTTGGGGTCAGGGGTGAGGCTTGAGAAAGCCCCCATTCCATTGCCCTTTGTTACCCCCAAACTGAGGGTGTTTAGAAACACACTCACCACAGTCACAGCTCTGAACACCAGGTTCCCCTCAAGCCCCACGACCACTGTACCCAACACCTGTACCCAACACACTGGACCCAGCACCTGAACAGGACTCCACAGGCTCGGCCAAAGGCAGCACACACATCACACGATGCTTCCCCGTCTCATATTTTTCTTATGGTTTCCAGGATGCAGATCCTCTTTTTCTGAAAAGCATGACCTAGGAGGGAGGAGTGGAAAATAAACAGTAATTTCCTGTAACAAGAGCCTTTTTTATAAAGCACTTGGAGGAAGAGGAGGGGCACAGAGGAAGGGGGGTTTGACTCTTTGCAGGAAATGGCCACGCCTGTGACTTCTCTGAGCCTGCTAGTTTCTGCCCAGAAGGCCATTGGGGGGATGATATTAAGCCAGTGCACAAGTAATTACGGGCCTGGCACAGTGGCTCACGCCTGTAATCCCAGCACTCTGGGAGACCGAGACGGGTGCATCACTTGAGGTCAGGAGTTAGAGACCATCCTGGTCCACATGGTGAAACCCCACCTCTACTAAAAATATAAAAATTGGCTGGGCATGGTGGTGGGTGCTTGTAATCTCAGCTACTCAGGAGGCTGAGGCAGGGAAATCACTGGAACCTGGGAGGCAGAGTTTGCAATGAGCAGAGATTGAGCCATTGCACTCCAGCCTGGACGACACAGTGAGACTCTATCTCAAAAAAAAAAAAAAAAGAAAGAAAGAAAGTAGGAAAGAAGCCCAGGCGCAGTGGCTCATGCCTGTAATCCCAGCACTTTGGGATGCCGAGGAGGGCAGATGTCCTGAGGTCGGCAGTTCAAGACCAGCCTGACCAACGTGGAGAAACCCTGTCTTTACTAAAAAATACAAAATTAGCTGGACATGGTGGTGCATGCCTGTAATCCCAGCTACTCAGGAGGTTGAGGCAGGAGAATCGCTTGAACCTGGGAGGCGGCCGGGCGCGGTGGCTCACGCCTATAATCCCAGTACTTTGGGAGGCCGAGGCGGGTGGATCACGAGGTCAAGAGATCGAGACCATCCTGGTCAACATGGTGAAACCCCGTCTCTACCAAAAATACAAAAATTAGCTGGGCATGGTGGTGCATGCCTGTAGTCCCAGCTACTCGGGAGGCTGAGGCAGGAGAATTGCCTGAACCCAGGAGGCGGAGGTTGCAGTGAGCCGAGATCGCGCCATTGCACTCCAGCCTGGGTAACAAGAGCGAAACTCCGTCTCAAAAAAAAAAAAAAAAAATGATGAACCTGGGAGGTGGAGGTTGCAGTGAGCCAAGATTGTGCCACTGCACTCCAGCCTGGGCAACAAGAGCGAAGCTCCATCTCAAAAAAAAAAAAAAAAGAAAAGAAAAGAAAAATGATCTGACCTACATTGAGTGTAGATTATAAAATCCCCATGCATCAACCTAATAATAATGATAATAAAGTGTTTACCTTGTTCCAGACATTATGTCAAGTATTACAGATATCACTTCACTTGTATATCACTTCACCAGCCACTCTGTCAGATAGGTGTAATTCTAGCCCCATTTTATAAATGGATAATCTGAGGCTCAGAGAGGTAAAATAAGTGGCCCAAGTAACTTAGAGTGGGGACTTGAAGCCTGCTGGATTGCTCCAAAGCCCAGCTTGCTCTGTGTCTTGATTTCATGCCAGTAATCCCAGCACTTTGGGAAGCCAAGGCAGGAGGATCACTTGAGCCCAGGAATTTGAGACCAGCCTAGACAACATAGGGAGATTTCATCACTACAAAAAATGAAAAAATTAGCCAGGCATGGTGGCACATGCCTATAGTCTCAGCTACTTGGGAGGCTGAGTTGGGAGAATCACTGAGCCCTGGAGGTGGAGGTTGCGGAGAGCTGTAATGGTGCCACCGCACTCCAGCCCAAGTGACAGAGTGAGATCCTATCTCAAAAAAAGAAAGAAAGAAAAGAAGGAGGGAAGGAAGGAAGGAAAAGAAAGAAATGATCTGACCTACATTGTTTGACTGTAGGGTAAAAAATCCCCATTCCAGAGAGGTCCTGCACCCCACCTCCCAACTCAGAAAGAAGGAACACATGTTCAGAGAGGCCAAGAAGAATCTAGGCAGATGGGTGTGGCTGGGTTTCCTCACTCATTCTAATAGTATTAGAGCATAACCTTTCTGTCCAATTATATTTCTTTCTTTCCTTTTTTTTTTTTTTTTTTTTTTTTTGAGACAGAGTTTCACTCTTATTTCCCATGCCCAGGCTAGAGTGCAAGGGCACAATCTTGGCTCACTGTAACCTTGCCTCCCAGGCTCGATTCTCCTGCCTCAGCCTCCTGAGTAGCTGGGATTACAAACATGTGCCACCACACCCAGCTAATTTTGTAGTTTTAGTAGAGATGGGGTTTCTCCATGTTGGTCAGGCTGGTCTTGAACTCCCGACCTCAGGTGATCCGCCTGCCTCGGCCTCCTAAAGTGCTGGGATTACAGGTATGAGCCACGGCGCCTGGCCTTCCAGTTATATTTCAACAAGACTGTCCATACTTTGATGAATCTAAACATAAAAATAGACAATTTGCCCTCTGTCTTTGGGTCTTCATTCTGAAGGCCTCTGTGACACATAAAACTCTGATCAAATAAATTTGTATATTTTTTCTCCTGTTAATCTGCCACTTGTCAGTGATTTTCAGCAAGCTTTCAGAGGGCAAAAGGGGAATTTTTCCTTGGCCTTGACCCAAGCTTGTAGTTCCTTTGGGGTGAGTAGTGTCTCTGGCTGCAGTAAGCTGTCTCAAAGTCGGGGCAGGCCTGGAGAGTGGGGTTAGGATGGCACCCACAGAGCAGCAATAGTTCATTCCTGGCCTGGACCCTTCCCCACATCATGACCAGACACGAGAAGACACACATTCATAGATTCCCTGGCCTCAGAGGAGCAATGAGGCTTCCTGGAAACTCTGGTTTTTGAAAATCATGTCCTAAGAATGGAGGGAATTCCCTACACTTTCTCTCCCCTACCTTTGGCTCACGTAAAGACCTAGGAGAAGCCGGGCGCGGTGGCTCAAGCCTGTAATCCCAGCACTTTGGGAGGCCGAGGCGGGTGGATCACAAGGTCAAGAGATCGAGACCATCCTGGTCAACATGGTGAAACCCCGTCTCTACTAAAGCTACAAAAAATTAGCTGGGCATGGTGGTGTGTGCCTGTAATCCCAGCTACTCAGGAGGCTGAGGCAGGAGAATTGCTTGAACCCAGGAGGCGGAGGTTGCGGTGAGCCGAGATCGCGCCATTGCACTCCAGCCTGGGTAACAAGAGCGAAACTCCGTCTCAAAAAAAAAAAAAAAAAAAAGACCTAGGAGAATATATGACAAAGTGCTAACAAAGGTTACTCTGTGCAGTTGGAATATGGGTGATTTTTATTCTATTGTCCTTTTTGGCTCATTATGTTTTCTAAGATTTATTTTCCCTACAATGAATATGTATCATTTGTTTAATGTTTAAAATATATGCTGTAAAAAGAGAAAATCCTTTGGGATTGCTCACACCTGCAATCCCAATGATTTGGGAGCTCAAAGCAGGAGGATCGCTTGAGCCCAGGGAGTTAAAGGCTGCAATAAGCTATGATCACACCGCTGCACTCCAGCCTAGGTGACAGAACAAGACCTAATCTCAAGAAAGAGAGAGAGAATCTCAACATTGTCTCAGTCTTAAGACATCCCTCCACTCCCTTCTGTCCCATCTCCTTCCCCTCTGACCTACCTGCTACTCTGGGCTCATTCCCTGAGTCTGAACCTGCTTTAATGCAGGCCTTGCAGGTGCAGAAGGCATTGAGGCCAGGTCATTCAGGTAAGGTAAGCCATGGCTTGGCCAAGAGGACTGGTAATGATGGGGGTCAGGGAAGCAGGGAGGCCACCCTAACCTGGCCTGACTGGAGAGAAACGTCCTGTAGGGTGGGGGCGGGAGTGCAGGCTGCGATGGGAGCAGAGGCCTCATGGCCTGGGCCTTCCAACGCCAGGCCAGGATTGCCACACACCCTTTGTCCATGCGGTCCTTCCCGGTGTGTACTGTGCTCTGCTGGCACAGGCCCGGACTTGTTCTCATAGCAGCTGCAGCTGGACAGGGGAAATGGGCAGAATATAACTGTATGAGTAATTAACTACAGATGTGGCAGGGCTACGAGGAATGTTCAGCCTGCTGCTGTGAGCGGAAACTGGAAAACCCAGGGCCAGGTTTCCCTGAAGGCGGCCATTTAAGCTGAGTTCGGAAGGAGGATGGGAGTCATGGGGGAGCAAGTGGGTGTGGAACATTCTGAAAGGAGCAGCGTACACAAAGGCCCTGGGATGGGAAGGAGCTGGGCCAGTGGAGGAACAGAGAAATGGCTGGAGCAGCTGGGGCTTGTAAGCATGTTGAGGGGGTATATGTTGGTTTCCAAGAACTGCCATAGGAAGGCATCACAGATTTGTTGGCTAAAAACAACAAATGTTTATTCTGTCATAGTTCCAGAGGCTAGAAGTCCAAAATCAAGGTGTTGGTAGGGCCGGGCCACACTTCCTTTGAAATCTCTAGAGTAGCGGTCCCCAGCATTTTTGGCACCAGGGACTGGTTTCTTGGAAGATAATTTTTCCTCAGACCGGGAAGGGGATAATTTCGGGATGAAACTGTTCACCTCGCATCCGAGCATTGGTTAGATATTCCTAAGGAGCGCGCAACCTAGATCACTTGCATGTGCAGTTCACAATTGAGTTCTCGCTCCTAGAGAATCTAATGCGGATCCTTTTGTAGTTCATGAGCATGATGATTGGGTGTTCACACGCTTGTGTGAGATGTGCCACTTTTAACCTTGTTACACGTCTGCATGTTATCCATCTGACCTGAAATTAAAAAAAAAAAAAGAGAGAGAATCTAATGCCGCCACTGATCTGACAGGAGGCAGAGCTCTGGCAGTAATGCTCGCTCTCCCGCCGCGGCCCTAACAGGCCACAGACCAGTACTGGTCCAAGGCCCAAGGATTGGGGACCCCTGCTCTAGAGGAGGATCTCTTCTTGCCACTTAAACCTTCTGGGAGTCCCAAGTGTGCCTGGACCAAATCTCCGCCTCCTTTGTCACATGGCATTCTCCCATCTGTGTGTCTCTGTCTTCACATGGCCTTTCTTCTCATGAAGACACAGGTAAGGTGCAGTGGTTCATGTCTGTAATCCCAGCGCTTTGGGAGGCCAAGGCAGGAGGATTGCTTGAGGCCAGAGTTCAAGGCCAGCCTTGGCAACATAGGGAAACCCCATCTCTTAAAAAAAAAAAAATGACTAGGGGCGGTGGCTCATGCCTGTAATCCCAGCACTTTGGGAGGCCAGGGCAGGCAGCTCACCTGAGGTCAGGAGTTCAAGACCAGCCTGGCCAATATGGTGAAACCCCATCTCTACTAAAAATACAAAAAATTAGCTGGGCGTGGTGGCAGGCACCTGTAATCCCAGCTACTCGGGAGGCTGAAGTAGGAGAATCGCTTGAACCCTGGAGGTGGAGGTTGCAGTGAGCTGAGATTGCATCACTGCACTCCAGCCTGGGAGACAGAGTGAGACTTCATCTCAAAAGATAAAAACAATGAAAATAATTAGCTAGGCATGGTGGCTCACACCTGTAATCCCAGCTTCTTGACAGGCTGAGGCAGGAGAATCATTTGAGCCTGGGAGGTGGAGGTTGCAGTGACCTGAGATTGCACCACTGCACTCCAGCCTGGGGGGCAGAGTGAGACTCTGTCTCAAAAAAAAAAAAAAAAAAAAAAAAAGCACCAGTCATTGGAGTAGGACCTACCTATCTGCAAAGGCCCTATTTCCAAGAAAGGTCACATTCACAGCTACCCTAGGTTAGGACTTTAGCATTATCTTTTTGGAGACACAACTTGATCCATAACAGGGTCAGTGATGTAAGAATGGGACTGGAGGGTGGGTGTGACCCTGTGGGCTGTGGCCAGGGCCTCAGCGCCTAGGAAGGGTCATACAGCTGCATGCATGGGGTTGTCCTCAGCAGTTAGACACATCAGCTGTATTGACAGGCAGGGACGTCGCAGCTCTTCCAGACTGACCATCTGGTCCTCCAAAGAGGAAGCTGAGGGCCATGGAGGGAAGTTAGGCCCAAGTTCCAGGTTGTCTGGTTTACTGGCTTTGACTGTCAAGCCAGCGGTGCTGAGTTCCTACACTCCGCTGACAGCCTGCTCCTGGGCCTCCTACTCACTTCCTGCTAGTTGCTTCTTCCCTCCAAACACCCCGGAAGTACTGGTCTGGGCCGGCTCTCATTTCTATTTCTAGGTGACTTGCAGCTCTCACAAGTCTTCTCTGAAACTCATCATCAGTGTTCCCGATGAGAAATAAGCCCCCATGCTTTCATTCAGGTGATGCTGGGCCTTGAACAGAGTGTGAATGGGTTAGGGAGGCCTCTGGCCTCTACGGAGCCACTCTTTTGTCCACACAACCTCAGTGCCCATTAATCCTGCCAGAACAGGGACGTTGGGGGATTTTGATATCAGTTGATCACAGTAGACCTGGTTTCCAATCTGGCCTCTGGTTCTCCTGGCTGTGTGACCTTGGCCCAGATAGGCAACCTCTTTAAACCTAAATTTCCTCATACTTAAAATGAAGATAGCAATATATTTTATCTGACAGAATTGTCTTAAGAATAGAAAGAAATAATGCATGTGCAGACCTGGCCTGTAAATGCTCAGTAATTTCTCCTTTTTTTTTTTTTTTTTTTTTTGAGACGGAGTCTCATGTCTCGCTCTGTCACCCTGGTTGGAATGCAGTGGCACAATCTCGGCTCACTGCAACCTCTGCCTCCCAGATTCAAGCGATTCTCCTGCCTCAGC